CACTCGTAAACGATTTGATGAATGGAGTTTCTTCTGGCGGAGCAGCCTGTCGTTGTATAGGACCAAGTGACATAATTATTCTATTCTACCCATATTCCTATCCGTCTGCTGGTGCTCTGCTGAAGGCTCGAATCATATTTACAGTACTTCGCATTTCCAATAATAGCAGACGACAGCATTGGTACGGACTATTCTGGACATCCTGAAAAGCTGATTGGCAATATTGACCATTCTCAAGTGAAGGTAGTTTACTGCATGTGTAGATATCTCCACATTTTTTCTACCTTCCTTTAGAAGGAAGATAACCGCCGTTGAGTGCAAGATATGTCTAAATGCAAACTTGCCCTGTTCTGAAATATTCCATTTTGGCGCTGCAACCAGACAACTATCCACTGAATTGTACGGAGTTACAGTTGACCTAGATGACGAACATCCATTTTCCAGAAGTCTGCGTGGGAACAACCCTGGGGCCTATTCTGTCCTTGCTATTTGTTTCTCCAGCGAGACAGAAAAGGATCATCCGTAATATGAAATCTCCGGATGGCGAGATCAGCCGTACATGGTCGACCAAAACAAAGTTCTCTCCACACAGAATGAATTTGTCGCAACACATCAGAGGCGCCACTTCTCGTCGTTCGCCCGATCAATATCCACACTCCTCCTCACAAGCACTGGGGAAAATTCTTCGTGACCCCTGACACCGGATCAGATGCCAACAAATCCCGCTCGCGCTGGCCCCAGCATTCTTGCAGAGGAAGGAATCGAGGGCCCACTGGCCCACTCACCCCGTCGAATCCGTAACGTGCAATCGTAGTTCTGCCCAGGGCTTCCTATTACGGACTAGTGTCCCGCAGTATGTTAGAACATCTCCAGTCGCTAGCAAAACATCCAGCATTTTCAATAACGTGCCAGGAACGCGCCATGAGTTCACAAGCCCTTTCCACACTCTGCCTGCACACGATGCTGTGCGGCATCGAACGGCGTAGATCTTGATGAACGGCCAATGATTAACCGACATGACCATCAACCTTGCGGCTAAATGTTCAATAAATCAAAGCTTGGGGAAGTTTGGTTGAGGAAATCGGTCCGGGGCCTAGGGCTGTTCCTAGGCACCCCGATGCATTGGTTCTGGGTTCATCTTTCGCTGGAGCTCTGGGCCCCCTTATTTCTGCTCCAGCTGAGCCGCTTAGGACGTGGCCCACCCCAGTCACGGCAGTCCATCATTGGCGGGTCTTGGGAGGTGATATCGTTGACAAAAATGATGATCAACTTCTTTTTCTTCTATCCCCCCAACCACATGCGGCCATGCCGTTGAGACAGGAAAAAATGTGCTTTACTACGTAAAAGTTGACATAGAATTTGGAGAAGACGAAAAGCTCGATTTGATATCTTCGACTTTGCTCTTCTTGTTCATTTTTTTTTTTTTTTTCGCGTTGAATGGCGTCCCATCTCCTCTGCTGGGTTGGACATGGCCTTCGTAACAACTTTTTTTTTTTCTCCGAACGCAAAACTTCTCACGCAGACACGCTTGCTGATTGGTCATATTTCTCGGCTCTTGCAGATTTAGTTGGGGAGAAGTAGAGGCCTAACGAGACTAAGGCGCGTTTCAATATTTTGTCACAACATTCTAGCCCTTTTCCATTAAGCTGATTGTTCCTCCCTTGCAAGGATTTGGCTCTTTTGGGTTAGTTATTGTGGCCGTTTAGAAAGTTTTTTTGACTCCCCAGGTACCGGGGGGATGTTGAACTGTCCATCAGAATTTGTAACAGAGCTCAGCCAGAGTAACCTTTTTTGATCTACCCAGCGAAGCTTCCACTAGACATTTTGCAAATGGGGAAAAATCAAAAAGTTGGCTCTCAGTTACCTACCAATCACACATATGACAGTTACCGTCGGGATTAATTCAGGTTTCAAGGATCGTCACTTGCCCGTGGACGGTTCGTGTTTTTCCGGATTATTGGGCCAGAACAATCCACTTCCCCTCAGAAGCCTGGATGGCCCAACCTGATTGGAAGAGCGACATGTGCATGTGTGCATCGATTACATAGTAATATCAAGTCCACCGTGATCAAGCTTGATATGAAAATAAAGTGGGAAGCTGCAAGGTAAGCGCATTTTTAGGAGAGAAAAGGGGGGTTTTGGAATTGGGTACGCGTTGCTACTTTATTTTCGGCTGTTTGACTTTTCACGATTCGTTTGTTGAGGTCATCGGGTTTTAAATTTAAAATCAACGAGGCCTGTATGATCCCCAAAACTTCCGTTATCAGATCAAGCGTTTGAGTGGGCTTGTAACTTTATCTCTCTCGATCGTTCGCGCTATGCCCATGTTCTAAGGGATAATGTCCATCATACGGGAAAAGAAAGAAAAAGTTGATAACTCCAAGATAAAAAGGTTCGCGTCTGTTCCAGGTAACTGAGACGGTGCATACTTGGGACTTAGAAAACTCTCGAAGCGAGATCCATTAAGTATTTTGATAATAAAATTTAAATTTTTTCTGGGAGCGCACACAAACTTTAACCAAAAAATGCGATGCGACTGTCCTGCACACTTCTGCAACAACGGCAGAGTGGTTACGAACTTACGATGGTGAACATGAGCAGCGACGAGTATCTGGGCCTCAGGAACAGAGCCAGCACTTTGGTCTGTGTCTTTGATCACCAGATGCAACAACCTTCTGCCCTAAAACCCTTCCCTAAACGGCCCCCAATCGGCCCCCAAACTCCAGGCTTCACCCGCCCAAGGGTAAACCTAACCGCTTAACGTCCCATTGCCACTAACTGCTCCGGCCAGCGTAGCATCACCGCCAACATTGCCCACAGTCCTTCTCTTCCTGTCCTCTCCGCAACCTCAACAGCCTATCCAATTCCTCGTCTCTTCGTCTCTTCGTCTCTTCATTTCTTCGTCTCTCCATATCTCTCGCACTCGCACCCGCACTCGCACCCGCACTCACTCTCTCTCCTTCTCCATCTTCCCATCTCCATTGCGAGGTCGCCAGTTTCTCCTCCATCGTCCTTCGCTTCATCCCCTCCTCCTCCTACCAGTCCGTCCAATTTCCGTACCCTCCATCGCCTCGCCCCTTTAGATCGACCACTGAGCCATCGCTCCAGCCAACCACAGTCGCTGCGCTGCCAACCCTGCACTCTAGCGGCGCAGAAGACTGGCGACTGCACCCAGACAGACACTTCCAATCACACTAGCTAGTCTTAGCTGAAGCAACCAAGCCACAGCCTGCCCTGTCGTCTGTTCTGTGCTCCCCGTCCAGTCGTCACTGTACAGTTCTCCGGCCTTTTCGAGCTCGTCTCTTGCTCGTCGCCTCCAAGCTTGCGCGACTCCAGCAGAACCGACCATCGCCTCTCCCGAATCATCAAACAAGCCTATGAAAAAAATCTTCCGGCGCACCTTATCACCTTTCCGCGATTCTACCAATAACGCCCGAAAAAATCAACACTTCGCGCATCTTTATTTCGACCTATTGGAGATCCCTCTCGTAGAAACCCGTTCTTCTTCTGGCCCTGGGCCAACCTTGGAACCCTTGTTAGTAACTATTTCTTATTTCCTTTCATCTTCAAACCTGACCTTACTCTGTCCGTTTTTACCATCGATTCTCTGGACTACGCATAGTTTTTCTCCCATCTTCTTGACTGCTATAACCTTCAATCGCGGGTCATATTTTCCTGTTTTTATTGTTCTTGTTGCGCCGTTATTCTTGCGCCCATCCTATCTCATCCATCGCCCTGGGCCCCTCTCCACTTCAAAAAAGAAAGGCCAAAAAAGAAGTGATAGGGCCCCTGCACAACCTTTTGTCAGGGTAATCCCCCAATCTTCGTCGCTCTATGCCGTCTCGCCCTCTATTTAATGTTGAGTTCGAAGCCTTAGATCGTGGCATCTTCCCTTGCCTTTCCGTTCTGCAGTTTGCTTCCGTTTTTATCCTCCTTGCGTCGCTCTATTAATTTGGCTAATTTTTTTGCGTGCCCAACACATCGCGATTGTATCTCACCTTACCCGTACCTCAACAACATCCTACAATTCCATTTTGTTCAATCCACCACTCGTTCCCATCGCCATTTTTCGTGTTATAGAACTAACATTTGCAGAACGCGCTGCTTTGCTTAGATCAGCCCCTTCCTCGAGCGATGCACATAAATTCATAGCTTATTTTGTCACACGAATCCCACGCTAACGGGCCTCCCATCTCCTTTTTCGCGTCGACTGTAGCCTTCGATCCTCCTCGAAGGGATTTTTTAAGCGTCACAGCTTCTTACCATCACATCATACTTCTACTGTTTGGCAGCCGTGCTTGAGACTATCGACTTTACGCGACCCGCGAGACTTTCGCGAGGATCGTTCCAAGCGATAAAAAGGGAGGATTCGACTTCCCTTTGCGCCAATACGTACCTTACCTAAAAACTTCTTTATATCGACTATGAGCAACGGTCAGTTGAACCAACCTGGCGCAATGTTCAATAGGCCCACGCTGAAGCGCAACGGGTCCAGTTCCGCCGCGATTTCCCACCTTCCAGTTTCCACACCTAACGGCACATCAAGCATACACAACACAAACATACCTGAGCCGTTTTCCCCTGTATCATCTCAACCACCTGCCTCCGCTTCCGCAGCGTTTAACACCATGCTTCCACCGATAGGCCAACCTTCATTGCGTCATGCAGAGATGGATGCTGCTGGGAATGGCATACCAAACAAGAACGGCTTGAATGGAACGTATCCCACGAAGAACGTTAAAGGCGGCACTGTCTCTGTCCTTTTGCGACGAT